TTCAGTGTTAATTTGGGTAACAGAGGTTTTTGCCTTAGCCCTCTTCACCCTTTTGGTTTTGGATTGGGTTGGGATTAAGACGGAGAAGAGAATTGAATTGTAACAACTCCTGGCAAATCGGCCAAGAGGTCTTCAACAACGGCTTTGTTGCGGCCCGTGTCTTCAGCAGTGGCACTGATGGTAACCTTGGTGCCGAAGTGGATAGCAGGAAAGGCTATAGGAAGGTTAGCTGGATTGTAGGCCGATGTCTCTGATTCTTGGCATCTTCGACTTCGAGTTCTGCCGGCTAGTGCGTTTGCTAGAGCACAACATCGACGTCGGCACTGGGATGTCAAGATAAGTTAGGGGGTAAAGGTGGATGGCAGCTCAACTAGATCTGAGGAAGAGGCCTAGTTTGGCATTGGCGATGAGGCAACTGGTGAGGTGGTTGCTGATAGGGGAGTCTTACTTCGACGAGGAACATCGGGCAAAGCAGACTTGTAGATCGGGATATAATCAAGCAGCAAAGGGGCTTTGCACTTATTAATATCCAAACCTAAAAGCCTTTCAAATCGGGGCTGTAGCAGAAAGTTTGGTGGAAATTTTTTGATGGTTGAGGAAGAGCTACAAAACATAAACAAAAAGAAGGCATTAGTATGGATAGATGAACTAGCAAATCTTAGTAAAGGTAAGTTATGAGGTGACTCAGTTCTCACCGTCACCTTCTTTAGACACTGCTCGGCGCAGAGGAAAGAGATGAAGATCATTATCAAGCGCAAACTCCCAGTTGCCTAAGACGATCAAGTAATCATCGCTAACACCCTTGTTGGAGTCTAGGAGGTCGGCTATAAGTTTGTAGGCGATGGATCTAGGCTTGAGGTAATAAATGTAGTCTTTTTCAGATTTAAGGCCACACATTGTATAATAGAATTGGATGTTGACTAATGTAATCCTAGCCTTTTCTCAACGTGCTAGAGCGATTATATCGTTGGTAACCCTATAGGAATTGATGGCTAGCTGCATGGGGTTAAGTTTGTAGTAGTAGAGGACTTCCCTAAAAAGGGTATCTAAAGGAAACTTGAGTCCATACTCTATGAAGGCAACTACTAGGAAGGGCATAGAATCTCCATCAGGCATGATAGAGTCCTCCTCTCCAGCCAACCTAAGTTGAACGTTAGCTGCGATGAAGAACTCTTGTCGAAAGTACTCTAGTTTGGTCGGGGTGTCTACCCTCCACCTAAACATACCCATGATGTCGGATTAATGAAGTTGGTGTAAGATTTTAGGAAAAAGTGAGTAGTATTGACTTGAAGACCTCAACTAAACCCTAAATAGGCACTGTGGCAAGGGTTTTGAAGATCTAAGGGGAATTTGTTTCAGTTTTCCTAAGAATATAATTTCTAGCAAATCCCAAACCCAAATCTGCTGAAATAAGATTCAAATGGCAAGAATTTGGAAACAAAGCAAAAATAACAGAAAGAAAAAAGCATGATTCAGAATCAAGAAAGCAACAGAGATGCAAGAACATAGGAAGTGTATAGAGGCAACACCGATTCAAATGGCAACACACAGATACAGTATAAAGGCAGAGTAACGAAGAACGGTAAAACAGACCCAAGAACTAGAATTGATTTGCAATATCTAAAAATGGCAATTAGAGTCAGGGAATGGATAAAAAATTCAAGCAGCAAGAGATATGCAAAACAAGATTCATAACAGTGTCACACTCAAGAACAGCAAAAAACTAAAAAAAGAAATGAGGAAATTAGAGAACTTACCAAGTGAAGTCAGGGAAACGATGACGAAACAATAATCACTGGAGTCTGACGACGACGGTAAATGAATCAGAATAGGGAATGCCTCGCCAGAAGTGGTAAACGAAATGGGTACAAAGAGCTCGTGAACGCAACAGTGGAGGTTTTTGGAATGTAGAGAGAGAAAATCGTAAGCAAAAGAGAGAAGCGAGGATGCGAAGTGAAAAGATGAAGAGAGAGAGTGGGTGGTTTTGTTCAAAAATTCGAAAAGGCGGCAAACCATAATGAAATGCCTAGGACGACGTGCATGTCAGGCGGCGTGGACAGAAATGACGCAACTTGATAGCGCGTGTCAGGTACAAACCAATAGCTATGGGGCACATGGAAGAAATGGTTGAAACGAGCCATGCGTGACAGCTCATGTGGTGTTAAAACTCTTGAAATTCTTGAAGTAATGAGGCAATAACCTCAGCTATAAGAACGATCTCGGCTAAGATGTTTAAAGAACTTGATTCTTGGTTCCTTATCCTTGGTAAAGTGGACATTTGAGTCCTGGGTACTTAAAATCGACGAAATTTTCTCGGTCAGCGAGAAAAATGGATTGTTAGCCGATATGCTATGTAGGTTCCATCACCTCAGATTGTCGAGGTAATAAAACCTAGGGGCAGTTGTGGGGACGTATTTTGTGAGTGACAGCGCGTGGCTAAGGTGATGCCGAAGTGTCATCCGAGGTGCCACGTGACTTGATATTGCGCCGAGGTGATCTCGGCTAGGCCGAAGTTATCTGCGGAGATACCGGAATCCGAGATGAGCGAATAAAGGACAAGAGTCCTAGAACATGGGAGGATCTTAGTCTAGATAAAGATAAGGTTCAAGAAGAGTTTATCTCTATCTAGATGAAGGTCCAGGATGAGCATTAAATTTGAGTCCATTGAAGTGAGGCTTCTAATGGGATCATGTCATTGCTGGTTATAAAAGTAAGGCACTCTCGTGGGTCTGGGGTAAGTTATTTTCTTGTGAGTTTAAGCACAATTTGTTATATTTTAGAGATATTGATTACTAACTTGATCGTCGGAATGTCCCAAGATGAACGAACTACTGCCGGATTCTCATCTTCTTGTACAGGTTGTTGGGCTTAATCTATTCTGCCGGTACTTTCCAACTAAGTTTCTTATTTAATTGTGTGGTCAAAAATCTACACCCACAATTAGTATATGCAGCCAAAATTAGATTGTGACCATATTTACAATTGAATCATGAAAAGTAAAATTGACAACAACGTAGTTGAATGAAGCAAGACATTTTCTAAAGAAATGAGAGTAAAGCACTTAATCAAAACTAGTGTTTAATGTGACTTAAAACAATAGTGTTTAATGTACCTATACTTAGAATTTTATTCGAAGCAAATAAAAATAGAAAGACTCAAATAAGAAGTTAGGGAGTCAGAACACTCTTTTAAGAAGGAAATAATCTGCAACATGTAGTCATTTCACGACAATAAAAGATTTTCTATTGATCAATGATAATGCGTTAGGTTCAAAAGTCTTCTCCGATGCATCCAAAAAAAGTTAGGTTCAAAAGTAAATATTGAGTATAGTAGATATTTCATCTTACGTCATGCTATTGGTCAATAAAATATTATAAATGAAATTTGGCAAACACTTGTTATTTCTCACTAACCCAATATGTAGCTCATAAAATGAGATTTCACATTGATTAGTGATACCATAATTATATCAAATATCTACTCTGAAATTAAATTTTTAAAAAATATTAAAATTAAAAATGAAGGAAATTCATTCAAATAAATTCATAAATATAAAAACGAAGAAATATTTATCACCCTTCCAAATAAATTCATAAATATAACAACAAAGAAATATATATTACCCTTCCAAATAAATTCATAAATATATATTTACCCTTTCACACTTTAAGTTCAAAGCTTATTTTGAAAAGTAAATTAAAAATTGATTTTTTTAAATTTTTTTTATTTATTTTTTAAAAAACATGTAAAAAAATTTAAAAAAAAATTATAACTTAAAAAAATTATAAAAAAAAATAAAAAATTTAACTTTTTATCGAATTCTCAAACTAGGCCCAAGTTCAGAAGGTTTTGAAAAAGGAATCAATAATTTCACAATTATTTAGTCAAAGAGAATAAGTGCTAATGTCATTCAGATCACTTCTATGCTTCCTAGTGTGTACGTAATCAAAGTTGATATATTTGTCAACATCTTGCATGTTATTTAAAATAAATAAATAATAAGACCTCCTTTATACATTGTTTCAAAAGTTGGTTTTCTTTTTCTATTCTTTTTGTGCAAGAGTGTAAAAAGAAACCCAGAAGTTCAACCGCAGAAGAAACCGAGACAACTTATCATACATTATTTTGTAAACTATTTTCTTAGGAAACAAACAAAGCTCTTCTTCCCTTCTATCTCCATCATATGCATCATGGTTATAAAGTCTTACACCCAATCTCAAGTTGAGCTGCTAAAAATTGAAACAATTATCTTAAAGTCTCTATCATCTTTTGCCTTCCCTCACCATTCTCACTCTTTTGAAACCTATCACAAAAATTTACACAAATCTCACCCAAAAAAAAAAAAACCTTCTCTTCAACTCTCAACTCTCTCCTCTCTTCAAAACCCAAAGACAAGAAGAAACAAACAAGAAAATCCATTTACAGTATAAATCACAACATTGACATCACCGGCTAATCATGATCAAAACAAAAAGAATAGAACCCAAAAAATAAAATAAAAATTAGAAATTAATTTAACAAAAATAAACACACACACGAACAAATGTTTTTGAATTTTTTTTTAAAAAGAAAAATCATTTAAAAAAATAATGAATGCTTTTGATTTTTTTCAACAAAATTAGTTTTTGAAATTTTTTTAAAAACGGATTCTAAAAATTTAAACAAACATATTTTGAACTTATTTATTAAACTCATTACTTTAGGTTTGAAATTGTGTTTTGGAAACATGATGAGAAAAGAAATTTAAAGAAAATTAATTAAAATTATATTTTTAAAACACAATTTCAAGTTTTGAAAAAGCGACTTTAGAATTTAGCACGACTTCACATAAGTAAAAACCAACACGCATCTAAGAAATATGATTTGAAAAAAAAGAACTCGAATTTGATAAATAGACACACAAAAAAAAAACACTAATCAAGGTCAATAACAGTTAGAAGAACTTAGTGCAATATTGCACTCAATATTCTTTTTTCCCACGAAAATTAGAAGAACTTAGTGCAATATTGCACTCAATATTCTTTTTTCCCAAACACAACCAAAAAAAAAAAAAACAAACAGACCAGTACAGTTTTTTCTCTTCTAAGAGCAGTTAGAAAACAGAGCCTCCCAAATCTCTGTAAACACTTGAACAATAACCTTATGATGATGATACGAATTCAACGAAAGAAAAGTCTGCAACAAGTTCTCCAAATCTCTGGCCCCAAAAATCTGCTTCTCCACTATCATCTCCACCATTGAAGTCCTGAAATCACTGTATGGATCGCTCGATCGCTTCACTACGGCAAAGCTATTCTTCACTTTCCCTTCTAATGGCATTAAACCCATCTCCTCAGACCCCTTCTTCTTCGATCCCTTGTTTCTTCGATTCGCCCCGTACCGGACTTTGTTCCGTCGAAACGAGTCCGACGAATCGGAGGAGAGAGATTTGGATGAGAAAAGGGTCGTCTTATCATCATCGTCGTCGTCGCTGGTAAACCAGTCATAGTAAGCGTCGAAGTCATTGGTTTTCATGAACTGGGTTGTCTTGTTCTTCGACTTCTTTCTCTGCTTTTTCTTCAATTTCTGCTTCGATTGAATCGATTTGGATTCTGTGTTTTGGAAGTCGTTCAATGTGTTGAGATTGAGAGGCGAAATGGGTGATGCGGGTGGGCATTTTCGACCGTCGAGGAGGGAGTTTCGGTCTGAGATTTTGCGTCTGGGAAAGAGCTCTGTTTGGGTTGTTTCGGAGCATTTGGGTCTGCAAATTGAAGGGAATGGACGAGACTTGGGAGAGAAGAGTTCGATCAATTGGTAGTGTTGTTGTTGTTGTTGTTGTTGGCGGTTTTGGGGTACGAAACGGGGTCGTTCGATCACGTCCGACATGTTTCGTGTCTTGCACGACCCGAATGATGATCGGAACATCCGAGAGATTCGGAGCTTCAATCGGTTCTGGTTCTCCATTGTAGAGAGAGAAAGTTTGAGAGAGAGGGAGGGAGAGAGAGAAGATGAAGGTGGCGGACTTGAAATTTGGATAGGCGAATAGGAGTTGTACTATATAAAAGAAACTGTGTTTAGAAGTCTTGTTTGGATTTTGATAGTCCCTGCGTGGTAAAATAATGGTCTTTAAGCAGGTGGACGGCATTGTGATTAAGGTTTGGAATTTAAGCCTCAGGATTACAGATTCAATTTCTTTTTTTGTGGACTAATTTTTTGGGCGAAACACAGTTAGTTAAGAGATTGAATCTCAAGTTGTCTAATCAATATTTGGTGTGGGTTTAATACTCTCCCGCTGTGCGAGTCGTGACTCAAGCAGAACTTGTCTTGGGAGGTTGGGACAAGTTTCCAAATTATAGTCTCCTCGCTCAGAACGGCTAATAGGATATCTTGGTGATCTCTGCAAAGCGGTCTTGAACTTGTGGAAGGGTGGGGAGAATTTTCCTGTAATAAAAATAAATAAATAAATAATGGTCTTTTCTAGAATTTTTTTTGATAGTATAATTATTACATTTTAAAAAATTAATTTTTTAAAATTATCTTTTGATAATATATTTTTTTAAGAAATATCAATGTTATAATTATACTTTTTATGTTGTTAATGAATTTAAAAGAAAGATAAAATAAAAAATTTATCACTGTGTTTGGTTTGAGTTTTTTGAATTAAGTTTTTTGAAAATTGAATTTTTTGGTTTTCATGTTTTTTTTTGTTTTTAGTGAATATTTTTAAAATTTTAAATATTTTTTTTTACTTTTTAGATGCACCTTACTTAAATGTATCTAAAAAGTAAAAAATTTGTGAAAAAATATTTTTAGAAATTAATAAATACATAAAAATATAAAAAATGTACTGAATTCTCGTATTTTTTTGTATTTCTGGTATTTAGTGAATTTTTAAAAAGTTTTTTCAATTTTTTTTTACTTTTTAAATATATTTATGTTAGGTATGTCTAAAAATAAAACTAAAAATTGCTCAAAATATAAAAAAAAATTCAGTAAAAACTAAAAAATACGAAAAATAAGAAAGTAAAATTTTTTAAAAAGTATTTTTGAGAAGTGGTAACCAAACATAGTGTATATTATTTTTATACTTAATTTTTAAAAATAAATTAATATTTTAAAAAAAATAAAAAATAAAATAAGAGATTAATATTTTGATACAGAGAGAATATAATTTTTTTAAAAAAATCCTTTTTATATGCTTGGTTTTGGCTGTTTTTCGTCTTCTTTGTTGTCGACACTAGAAATTTTCAACTGCATTTAGAAATGAAGTCCACGCGCCATGAAGAGTGTTGAAAGCACGCGCCTTTATTAGTGTTTTTGTGAATTAACCAGTTAGGAGATTGAGAATCTCATGTCGCCTACAATGATGGGGTTGCACAATTCTTGTCCCAAGTTCTTTTTAATTGGTATCAAAAAATTTGATTTTGAGAGTGCTCGGGCGTCCTTTAGCATATCTTTATTTTGGTACAATTTAAAATTTTGGCAAAAAATTTATTATAAATTATAACATTATTATTTTTTTATTTTTTTACATATCTTTTTGTAAAAAATTAAGAAATTATCATTTGACAACTTGAAGTTTTAGCTAACAAGTCAAAAAATCACTATAATTTATAATATCACTCTCTACTTTCTATCACAATATATATTTTCATAACAAGTTAAAAAATCACTATATATATTTTTATAAAAAGTCAAAAAATTACTAAAATACTCAATCTTCTTAAAATTTGAAATTTGACACCATCATCATACAACTCTTGGTGTAATGGTTAGATATTTACATCTTACAATGATGCAGATGCATCACTTAAAAAATAAAATAAGAGATTAATATTTTGATATAGAGGGAATATAATTTTTTTTAAAAAATCCTTTTTATATGCTAGGTTTTGGCTGTTTTTCGTCTTCTTTGTTGTCGACACTAGAAATTTTCAACTGCATTTAGAAATGAAGTCCACGCGCCATGAAGAGTGTTGAAAGCACGCGCCTTTATTAGTGTTTTTGTGAAGAAAAATGCTTGGGAGCACTAATTAGTGCTCCCACTGATTAGGTGGTAGTGGGTCCCGTCATTAATGATGTGATGTTTTGATTTTGGAGTTGTATTTTTTTTTTTGTTACTTTTTTAATGTATTAGTGCTATTAGTGGTGATATTTTTAGTGGGAGGAATCATTGTTGTTTTGTGAATTAACCAGTTAGGAGATTGAGAATCTCATGTCGCCTACAATGGGGTGTTGCACAATTCTTGTCCCAAGTTCTTTTTAATTGGAATCAAAAAATTTGATTTTGAGAGTGCTCGGGCGTCCTTTAGCATATCTTTATTTTGGTACCAAAATTTTAACAACTTAAAATTTTGATAAAAAATTTATTATAAATTATCATATTTTTATTTTTTTACATATCTTTTTGTAAAAAATTAAGAAATTATCATTTGACAACTTGAAGTTTTAGCTAACAAGTCAAAAAATCACTATAATTTATAATATCACTCTCTACTTTCTATCACAATATATATTTTCATAACAAGTTAAAAAATCACTATATATATTTTTATAAAAAGTCAAAAAATTACTAAAATACTCAATCTTCTTAAAATTTGAAATTTGACACCATCATCATACAACTCTTGGTGTAATGGTTAGATATTTACATCTTACAATGATGCAGATGCATCACTAATGCCTTGTTTAGGAACAAATTATTTTAGTAATTTTTAAATTTTTTGACTAAAGTATTAAGTAAAAAAAATTAGTATGTTTAAGATAACTTTTTATAAAAAGATATGCAAAACGTAGAGAGAAAAAAGAATATTTGACATTTTGGTATAATTTGTTGGTTTTTTAATTTTTTTTAATAATTTTTTGACTTTTAGACTAAAATTGAATGTTATCAAACGAGGCGTAAGTCAAATTTAATCAAAGGTTAAATTGGATTATACTTCTTGAATTTTGAAGTTCTTAATCGTTGGATCATTATACAACTCTTAGTGTAACGGTTAGATATTTACATTTGTCATTAATGATACAGATGTATTGCGAAATGTCACAAAATTAAAGTGGTCAAATTTAATTCCCAAAAAAAAAAATTACTTTTTGAATTTTGAAATTTGTAACCATCAAATCATCATACAACTCTTAGTGTAACGGTTAAAGAAATTTAATTTCAGACAACTAAGAGTATACTATTAGTAAATTTCAAAATTTTTGTAATTTTCAAATTTTCAAACAACGCATATAAATGCAACAATTAGGTAATGGTGACAAAATTCAAATGCAAGATTCAATAGTGTTTCTTTTCTTATATTGCAAGTGACATTTTCTCATTTGAAATTTGAATATAGTGGATTAATTAATTTCTCCCTTTTCTTTGAATACCATAAATAGGCTTGGAAACAACCAAAGTGCAATTGAAAGTTGAGGTTGTGCAATGGTTGCAAAAGGGTAAAATAGGAATATACTTCGAGGAAGATAAGAATCACATGGTTAGGTCATCGGGCTGCCTCATTTGTACATTGTTTTCCAAGTTTAGTTAGTCTGTAAATTCCTACCTAACCAAATTACAGTGGCATATGAAGAATGTAGGGACCATAGTAGGGAATTAAGTTAGAGTTGGTAGCATTTAAATTCAAATGGCTAAGTATACTTTATATTTAAAAAAGAAAAAAATATATATTATATTGCAAAAAGTAAATAAAAAAAAATGAAAGATTAGCACTTATTCCCTTTAATATGGAATCTTTTAGCAGTGACATTCTCTTAAAATACACACACTGAGGAATTACAATGCTCGAAGCAAAAGTTTTGGCATTAAATATTGAAATACATAATATTAATAATCTCCATTTCCTTATGATTGTTTTTTTTTATAACAAAAATATTACAGATTTCAAAAATTTTACTAAAATTTTTATCAAATGTCTCATATGAGTGTAAAGCCCACATAAGACCCATATAATATGGGTCTCACACCTATATAAAACCTTAAATAAAAATTTTAATAAAACTTCTAAAAACTCTAACATTACTCTTTTTATAATTCTTTTCCTTTCTCCTCCAAATAAATGTCAAGCATGACCGTTTTAGAGATGAAACAAGATCCTCCTTTGTTTTTTTTTTTTTCTCGACAATAATCTTGTCATGATTATCTAACCGTCCAAATTAAAAGTTAAAACAAAACGACTTGCTTTATAATGTATGGTTTAAAATAAAAGGCTATCATTTTAATAATGTTTTATTTTAATTCTAATCTTGAATCATTAATAATTTATTAGTTGTGTGAATAAAAAAATGATATTATTATTTTTTTTACATAAAATTTTATATTTTTGCACTATCTGCATTAATCTCCATCCATTTAACCTTATTAAAAAAAATCAGTATAATTATATCGAAACTGTAAGACTTATTGTATTTTTTTTTAACTGCAGGAAGGTAAGTGCAATTTACTCATTTAAGTAATATTTTTAAATTTTAATTTATCAAGGTGGCATCCCATCTGCCATCCATCCAAAATTAGATGGATTAGAAAAAAATTAATCTGCATCCGTCTATCGATTTGGAGGATGTAGATTGAGCAGGCCGTACGAGTTGGCGGATGGATGCGATCGGTTTGGCAGTTTGGACTTTACTTCATCTATAATTTGTCTATTATAGGTTACAGCACCACGCATGTATATTTTTAAGGTATTGTTTTTCATTTTCACAAAAATATATATTTATTATTTATATTCTATGTTATTACTTATTAGCAGTTTTTTTTTTTTTTTTTTACTTCACCTTGGGCAGATTGGGTTCATGTGGGTGTAGAATGATTGATCTACCATCTGAATTCGTAAATTTTAAAATATTTCATCTGCATCCGTCTGTTGACATACACACATCTCTCTAAAATCAATTAAGTTAGATTAGTTTAATTAGGTTAAACGAGCTTGACGGATCCACAAGATAACTTAGTGGCGGCTCTTCTCACTGTACAATAGATAGCGTTTTCTTTTAAAGATATGTGCTGGAGAATAACAAAGGTACACGAGGCATGGGATAGGAGGTTGTTGAGCAATGAAATAAGACTTCAAATAGCTCAATAGGGATAATAA